TAAGATTCCAAAAGCCGAAATTTCTTTGAAAATAATTTTTCATTACACATATCTCATAGATCCTAGCCATTAAGAAGCATTCTTTAAATGAAGTTAAAATTTAGAATAAAATATCTAAATTGACTCATTGTTGAGCTACTGCAGATGTGTATAAATCGTGTTCTAAATGACAACACCGTTCGCACTGGAAATTGTGTGTCAGCCAATGACATCACAAAGAGTTGTGCTACCTTTGCTTGTTCTTTTGATGATGATCGCATCGGAACATTTCTCCAACAATAAATATAACAAGTGCTGGGCGAAAAAACGGGGGGCTCCGTGGATATGGGTTTTCACTTTTTCCATTGATGGACCGAAAATGTTGTGCAATTGGCTTTTTGCTTAAAGGGTAAGGCTAAAAAAATATAAACAGGTTTATCATATAACCCACTAATTACAGAGGTATGGTATTGGTGGTAGAACGAGCGAAGACTCCTTAGGAGAAAAGTGTAACATGCATTACTCAAATAAAAGTGATTGTCTGTTAACTCGCGCTTAACTGCGCATATGCATGACATTCATCAATGAAGTGTCCCCATAAATAAGCTTGGCCATGCGAACAGTTGGGTTTTAACAGACGCTCCACTATATCCTTATATTGAGTTGCATGTTACAGAATGGGAATGTTCTCATTCTTTAAGATGAACTCAGAGCAACATTAATAATGTGCTGCTCTAGATTTGCCGTTTGGACAAGTGCCGGTACTGGAAGTGGACGGTAAACAACTCGCACAGTCCCAGGCAATCTGTCGTTATCTCGCTAGACAATGGGGTAAGCAGGCAGAGGTTCGATGCATTAAAAGCATCAAAATTTGAAGTAATGTAGTAAACAGCAGTGACTCAACTTAACAATAGTATTGCATTACCACTTGTTGTCTGTTACAGTAATCTGTAACAGAAAATTCGTTATTCCCTTTCTTTAATTTCATCTACTTCATTAGAGAACTCATTCAATTGGTTTAGGCCTATCTGGCAGTAATGCTTTCGAAGAAGCGCTTGTTGACTCCTTGGGTGATCAGTATACTGACTATCGTGTGGAAGCCAAACCGTACATCTACACTGCACTTGGATTCATGGAGGGTGGAGATCTTGTACGTTTCATTTAGGCACCTTATAGTTTGTTGAGCACTACAGTACTTTTTTGAGGAAAAGCTGAAGAAAGAGGTGATGATGCCTGCGCGCGACAAGTTCCTTGGTTTCATTACAAAATTCCTTAAAAACAATAAAACAAAATCCGGTAAGTTATCTGTAAAATCTATAAATCATTGTGCCAGTTCTTTGAATCTCATGTATTCAAACACTTTCAAAAAA